GTGAATTTACATTCATATAAATTGTCTATGTCGCTTTAATCTAAAACTTTGCTCCAGAAAGGGACTTGCCAGGTTTACAGTAAAAAAAGAGCACAACCAGCCGCCACCACACATTCTCCTTGCTTTAGCAGAGGATTTGACCTTTCTGAAACCGTTCCTCTTCCCTTACTAATGTCTTGAAGCAAAGTAGGTAAAAATGACATTCTGATTGTATCTTTGTGAAAGGTGACAGTTTTGATCTGCCTGTATAAGAAGTTTATCTTTTGTCTTTTCACTAGGGCTCATGGGATCTCATGGGATTTGATGCAGCTTTTGGGGAGCTTTTTTTTAAATCCCGTTTTTTGGAGACAGCTTTACATGACAACCTCAGCATTTAGCAAAAGCATTCTAATCCTCAGTCCTGCAGCAACAGAGTTTGGAATAGGCGCAGGTTGCAATTCAGAGAGCCCAGAAAGCAGAAAGGAATTAAAACGCTGTTACCTGCGGTTGTCCCTGCAGGGCCGATCAGGGACATGGACTGTGTGGAGCGCCCCTGCCAGGGGCCATTGCTTCTGTGCTGCGTCATCGAGGAGGAATGTCCTCCTTTGTGGCCTTCCTCGCTTTAAATAACTTCCTCACTGATGATTTACAACTGTTGCCACACGCAGTGTGTCCAGTGCTTTACTGAACCTGACTCTTGGCTCAAGCAGAGCCTCCAACATCCCGAACCCTGCGGGCGTCAGCCCATACCTGCCCTTGCAGCTGCGTGTGGGTGTCTGCAGGCCTCAAGGGGCCGGGGCCGGGGGCTCTGCCCGTGCCCGGGAAGGATGCGGGAAGGCTGCACCAAGGATGCAGGAAGGCTGCGGCAGGGCGCTCTGCAGGGCTGTCACCCTGCAGCGGGTGGCACAGGAGCAGGGTGGCCGCGTCTGTGTGAGGCTCTATCCAGTGTGTGGCCCCTGCCCAGGTACCCCCCGGGAAGCAGTGAAGTTTCCCTGGAAAACACAGGGCTCAATCTGTAGAGAAGGGGTTGTCATTTGGCAGAACCGTGTCTAGGGTTTTTAGTGCTGCAGTCATTCAATGCATTGGTTGGTGAGGAAAAAGAGCAAAAGAGAGCAGATCTTGTGAATATGCTGGTAACATTTATTAAATATCTACTCTGCCTTGCATGAAGGGAGACGATGGACTGGATTCTTCTGTGCTTATACGTTTAAGATTTTCCACAGGTCTTAGGCTTCCTGTCACACCTAATGTTAGCAGCAGTAGCTGATACTTGGACTGTCCAGGGGTGGAGGAGACCCTTCTGGAGTAGGGTTATTACGTGTTTGTTACCTCGGAATCCCCAGGGAAGCAGCCGGGCTGCCCCGGGCGCGCGGAGCGCGGGCGCGTGGGGAGGTTGGACGGAGCCGGGTTTGAAGATGAACTAACGGGTCACGTTGTGAGGGTCTGTGCGTGTGCCAGACACAACAGGGGAAGCGGTATAAAAGCCCAGGGTGACACTGATGTAGTGCAAGCCCAAGTGCTGAGAACTGCCAGTTCTTATGTGCTGCAAATTCTTTGACAGCTGGAAAAACTGATGCGTCACCGTGCTCCTGTCCCCCTGCCAGGTTCCGTTCTTTGCCAACCAAACCTAAAATCATAAGAAGGTAAGCAATCATCTAAACTATTACGTTTTGCTGAGGGGAACCTCGCGTTGGATCCCTAGATTATCAGGCCGGCAGAGGAGGCCGATGCTGCCGCAGGGACAGGGAGCAGGGAGCAGATTCCATGGGGGGAAGGAGCAGGGAGCAGATTCCACGGGTCAAGGAGCAGGGAGCAGATTCCACAGGGGGAAGGAGCAGGGAGCAGATTCCACAGGGGGACAAGGAGCAGGGAGCAGATTCCAGGGGGACGAGGAGCAGGGAGCAGATTCCACAGGGTCAAGGAGCAGGGAGCAGATTCCACGGGGACGAGGAGCAGGGAGCAGATTCCACAGGGGGAAGGAGCAGGGAGCAGATTCCACAGGGGGGAGGAGCAGGGAGCAGATTCCATGGGGGGAAGGAACAGGGAGCAGATTCCACAGGGGGAAGGAGCAGGGAGCAGATTCCACAGGGGGAAGGAGCAGGGAGCAGATTCCATGGGGGGAAGGAACAGGGAGCAGATTCCACAGGGGGAAGGGGCAGGAGCAGGGAGCAGATTCCATGGGGGGAAGGAGGAGGAGGAGGATTCCAGGGGGGGAAGGAGCAGGGAGCAGATTCCAGGGGGGGAAGGAACAGGGAGCAGATTCCACAGGTCAAGGAGCAGGGAGCAGATTCCACGGGGGGACGAGGAGCAGGGAGCAGATTCCAGGGGGGGAAGGAACAGGGAGCAGATTCCACAGGTCAAGGAGCAGGGAGCAGATTCCACGGGGACGAGGAGCAGGGAGCAGATTCCACAGGGTCAAGGAGCAGGGAGCAGATTCCATAGGGACGAGGAGCAGGGATCAGATTTGCTCCTGGGGCCTGGGAGGAGGGCGGCGGGAGCAGCCCCGTCCTCCTGCCCCGCGGGCGCCGGGCACCGGAGCTGCCTCCTGATTCCGGAGTAATTGCATGGAAATGTGAACTACAGCGCTATGGAGGACATTTTTGTGATAAGGAAATTAAAGTATTTGGTTCTCTGTTTATACTAACAATATATTTTGGCCTTTAATGGAAAAAAATATTTTAAATTGAAAAATATTTTAAAATTAAAACCATCTATTGCTAAGCAAACATAAGCAAATATAAAAATAGCAATGCTAAATTACTGGAAAACAAATATTAGGGAACTCTGCAAGTAAGTCAGTGATGAGATGTGACTATTACGCTATGTTAACTTTAATCGATAAATGCACAGGTAGGTGAATTTCAATTCATTTTACATGATGGAAGAATAAATTACTGTAGGGCATGAAGAGCAAACGATCATGCAACAGAAGTACCTTGAATTTAATGGAACATGTTCAAGGGTGGCGTGTTAAGAAACTTTGATGACAGTAATTTCCAAATAAGGTCAAAAGCAGTGGGGAAGAAGGAAAAGATGTTATTGCAGAATGATAACGCTCGAGGAAATGTCTGCTTACAGAATAAAAAAGTTTTGTGTGAGTTCATGCTCCCTAGAGAAAATGTAGTTCCTATTTAAGTGGAAATGGTAGCTGTGGCAGCACACCTGTACATTTGGAACATATTCTCTTCCAAGATTTTTCTAATCTTGAAATTTTCTAAGGCCCTCTTGACCTCGTTTTTTTTTTTTTTTAAATCTGTTCTCCTGTATTTTTTCACTGAATTATCTTGAAACACAAGAAATTGAGTGATGTCAGATGGGTTATGTCTGCTGGCATCAAAGAGTGAGGATCAAGAATTTCCTGTTGAGAAAGTCTTACGGTACAAGGTCTTCATCGCATTCGCAATTACGTGAAACACATTCTTCCTCCTTCTGGGGTGGAGAAGACGTTCAACCAGCGGGAAGGCTTGTCCAGCAATGGGGACTCGCTCTGTGCGGAGGAAGGGCCAGGCCCGTCCGAGCGGAATTCCCGGAGCTCGGCTGGGATCGGCCCTCGGGAAGCAGCAGGGAGGCGGCGAGGACGGCGCCCTAAAGCTTGGAGAAGCAGGAAGGTGCTGGACAGCAGCGCTCCGGATGGGAACAGGGGCTCCTCGCTCCTCGTC